GTATTTTGCTGGATATGCCATATCTTGACTGGGACTTGTTACTCGCAATTTTTGCTTGGCATTTTTAAGAAGTATAGGGATGATAATCTGGATAATCTTTACTCTTTTTAATATGGAGGATTTCGATGTCACTGTCTCTCACAGACTTTTCATTGTACAGTTTATACTCCACATATATATATATATATACTTCCTAAATATGACACGTAGTGTTTATTTGCTGCTGCATTGCAACCAAAAGGTGTTTGTATTTCAGTGGCTTATTTGAAGAATCTTGTGACCCTTGTGGTCCTGAACTTTTACTTGTGACTCATCCAAAGCTCAATGTGAATGGTGAATGTTATTGTTAACAACATACTTCAGACTACCTGCAATTGTGTTACCATTATACTACTCCATATAGTATTAAAAAGAGGAAATTGTAAAATATTAGAGTCAGAAATGTATAGTCATTGGATAACAGAAATGTCTAACCTAAATTCAGCAGAAGCTTTGGCTGGTAGAGGAATCAGTTGAGTTAGACCACTAAAATGACAAGGACTTTAAATACTTTTTAAAGCAGTGAATTCTTGTGATCAGTGTCAGTATTGCCACATGATATTGAAATGCCATATAACTAAGTTTCTTTTATTTTCTTTTTTCTTTTTTTTGAAACTTACATCACCATGCAAACATCTTACATGATTTTCTACACTCTAACTAATCTGTTTTAATATGAAAAAAAATAACTTGCAATATCACTTATAGACATAAAAACAAAATCCAAACACTTGTAATTGATGTGGAAAAATTCTAGAATTTTTTGGTGGATCTGGTCATTGGGATGTTTACTCCAATGCCTTAATTTAGCCTTAATTTAGTGGAAGGATAAGAAAATAGCATGAAAGGGTTGCTCAGTTTAAGTCACTTTTACATAGCCTATAGTTAAAAGACAGTATTTTGTAATGGGCCTTTGGGTGAGTGAAGAGTTCATTGTTCAAGACAATTAGACTCTGGGCTGCTATCAGGTATGATAAGATTTGAGATAAGCAGGATGTTTAAGTAACTTAAAAAATCTCTTTTGCTGAATGTTTTCATACTGTTATATGTACATTACTTCAGTTTAAGGACAAATAAGCAATAATCTGTTTTAAAAAAGCCTTTATAGTCATTATTGCCACAGGTTATAGTTCCTCAGAGAGGGAATTGGATATACCAAACCACAGTCCCTCTAAGTGTAGTTTTACACTTAAGACCTGTTGTAGCGGTCAGCAAGTTGTGGTTTTCCACACTAAGGTGGCGACGCTATAGGGTCTGACAGAAGGGCACTCAAAGAAGTTAACTAATCTGGAAACTAATTAACCCCAGAACAGTAATAAGTTCTTCAGTTATCTTAGACAGCTTTCTATTCATTCCAGCAATTGTTTTCTTTATGAAAATTGCATAACGTTTCCACTTGCAGCTTTATGGAAAGGGTTCTCTGTGCAGTTTCTGGCATAATAACAGATAAGCTGATATAATTTACTGGAAGAACTATCATAAACAAATATATTAGGGTATAGATAGGTAATAATTACCATACTAAAATGTAACTGCTTGTGTATTCCAGATCCAGCTGGGACATAGATGTTGTATTGCAGTTTGCCCAGGCAGTCAGTGCTGCGGTACTAGTTTCTCTGCCATCACAGATCTCAGCAGCCTAAGTGGAAGTCTGGTGAACTGCAATGCACAGCCCACCCCATGCAATTTGTTCATGTTCTTTCTGAGCCACCTACCTTTGTAGGTATCAGCCTCAACTTCTGCAAGTGCTGCAAATTTATTCCTGACCACCAATCTGTGTGTATGCAGTTTTTTAGCTGCTCTAGTCGTGCCTTAGTTTTTCCATTCCACATCAAGCAAAGCTTCCTTGTTGCCAACAGGGCAAGTAGATCTTCAAGAAAAAATACACTGTTCTTGCAGAACAAGTAAATACTCAGAAGAGAATTAAATTGGTGTTTGTTAAATTTTCTGTACATTTCAAGATTTGTGCTTCTGATGCTGAATAGCTTTTTTATTTACAGAATCACAGAATCACCATGGTTGGAAGGGACCTCTGAGATCATGGAGTCCCAAAAAAAAACAAAAAACAAAAAAAAACCAAAAAAAACCCCCACCACCCTAAACACACCAACAACAAAACAAAAAGCACAACACCCCACCACATAAACCCACCCACAAACCAATAATCTTGGGCACTAGAGCATGCCCTGAAGAGCTGTGCTACACGTTTCTTAAATACCTCCAGGGATGGTGACTCCACCACCTCCCTGGGCAGGCTGTTCCAGTGCCTGACCACCCTCTCAATAAATTAATTCTTCCTAATATCTAATCTAAACCTCCCGTGCTGCAACTTCAGACCATTTCCTCTGGTCCTGTCGTTATTTTGCTGGGAGAAGAGGCCAACACCCACCTCTCTACAACCTCCTTTCAGGTAGTTGTAGAGGACAATGAGGTCTCCCTTCAGCCTCTTCTCCAAACTAAACATGCCCAGTTCCCTCAGCCTCTCCTCATAGGACTTGTTCTCTAGACCCCTCACCAGCTTGGTGGCTCTCCTCTGGACACGCTCCAGCAGCTCAATGTCCTTCCTGTAGTGAGGGGCCCAGAACTGAACACAGTGCTCGAGGTGAGGCCTCACCGGTGCCGAGTACAGAGGCACCATCACTGCCCTGCTCCTGCTGGCCACGCTATTCCTGACACAGGCCAGGATGCCATTGGCTGCCTTGGCCACCTGGGCACACTGCTGGCTCATGTTAAGCCAGCTGTCCACCAACACTCCTAGGTCTTTTTCTGCTGGGCAGCTTTCCAGTCACTCTTCCCCAAGCCTGTAGCGCTGTCTGGGGTTGTTGTGACCGAAATGCAGGACCCGGCACTTGGCCTTATTAAACCTCATCCCGTTGGCCTTGGCCCATTGATCCAGTCTGTCCAGATCCCTCTGTAGACCCTTCTGACCCTCAAGCAGATCAACACTCCCACCTAGTTTGGTGTCATCTGTGAACTTACTGAGGGTACACTCAATCCCCTTGTCTAGATCATCAATAAAGATATTAAACAAGACTGGCCTCAAAACTGAGCCCTGGGGACCGGTCGCCGACTGGATTTCGCCCCATTAATCACAACTTGCTGGGCACAGCCATCCAGCCAGTTTTTTATCCAGCGAAGGGTACACTTGTCTATGCCATAATTCACCAGTTTCTCCAGGAGAACGCCGTGGGGGACAGTGTCATTGTTGGGGTGCAATTTGTTACATCTCTGGCCTGATGACTAGGCCCTCAGCTCCTCTGCGGATTTTTGTGAGGAGGCACTGCACTCCCAGAAGTGACACTTGGACTTCCCCTGTCTTCTTTTGTCCAGTCTGCTGTTATTGTGCAACATTTTTGTAGGCCTGCCAAAAATGCTTCCTTACTCATCAGTAATGCTTTTCTCCCCAGCTTGAGGACGAGAAGATTGCTTTCCTACCTTGAACATCTTCCTAATTCATGTCTCTGCATTCTTTTCCTGTTCATCTTCTCACTCATCTTACATCCCTGGATATCTAAGCTGATTCTAAACTGTACTGAAAGTTACCATGTTTTGTATTTCGATTGGTTGGGTTGTTTAGGAGGTTTTTTTCGGTACTGATAACGTGTATTTTGTTCCAGCAATATAGCTGCTACCAAAACATATTACTGTGTTCCTATTGTTCCATTCTGTGGTTTTGGTCATATTGCACTGTGAAGTTTTTGTACAATAATATATAAAGGTGAAGTACAAGTTAATTAACCTATAAAGGTAACAAAGTTGATGCCAATTGAGGCAAGAATGGAGGGGATAAAAGCTCGAGTTTAAAGTGAAGAGGAAGCCTTTCTTTGAGATCTCCACTTAATGACTTGAGCAGTGGTTCAGAGAGGAGCGGAGTTCTGAAGGGGATAAGGAAACCAAGCAGCAATGGGTTAATACAGAAGGTTCTTAAGAAAAAAACGCCAAACCTTGAAGGATACTGTAGTAAGGTGTTAGGAGACTGTGGCTAAACATCAGCTCGGCAGACTAGAAAGGGAGCATGGAGAATTCTGGAACCTACAGACCTCAGTTGAGTTTTTGGAGGTGCCTGTGACAATCAGAAAGGATATAGACCTCTGTCTCGGAGTGACAGCAGTTTTACTATGACATCCTGAAAGTCCCTAGATGTTTCAACTGCAGGGTTTTATGATGACTGTGAGGAGAGATTTGCAGTATTGCAGAGGGAAATGAAGAAAGTATGAATAAAGATTTTAGTGGAGGCAGGGTCGAGGTAAGGATTCTGGCGGTATGCCAGAGATGGTGTTAGACATATTGACAGGGGAGAGGCAGGAAGAAAATGTAAGCTCGGGATGAGGAATGACTTGAAGGTGTTAGTTTGCTCCCAAGGATAGACAGTAAATCTTAGTTTATTGGCACCTAATGCTCCAAGGTCCATGTATGCCGTAAGAGATAATATAACAGTATATTACACAATAAAGTAAAGGCTTGGCAGAGAGAGGTGCCAGCTGTGCCACTTTTGTGATACCAGAGACAGACTATGAAAATATTAGAATTTTTAACATTTAATATCAGTGTGCCACCCTGATAGGAAGCAGTGGGATGGTAGAAGTGGAATGGATCATTGCTTTTAACTGTATGTCCTAAAAGAAATCTACTAGTGTCTGATTATGATTCTGAGCTTTAAGAATTACTTTTCCATTAAGTAAGAATTCAGAATGTAAAGCAAATCCCTTCCTTGCCCTGTTTGATTATGCAGGGGTGAATTTGAAAGCATAGCTTTATTTCATTCCTTAAAGTATTCACTTTAGCAATCAACAACAATTTAGTGTCTTGTCTAAAGAGTAATACAGACCTTATCCAGAGTAATCTGAGGGCAATGGAGAAATGTTAGTTTTAGGACATGCTGGCAAAGGCCCATGTAAGTGCATCTAATAGTGTCTTTCGCTGTCAAACTTACTTGTTAAACACACTGGTTACTTTTGCAGCTTTGGTGGAAGAAGTTTATTCTGCTCAACGGGAACGCGATGAAGCTGTCATGGCAAGGCTTAAGTTAGCCAATGAAGAGAGAGATGAAGCATTTCTAAGAGTCCAGCGTTTAGAACAGTCTCTCAAAGAGTAAGTATACATTTCCCACCTTATGCAAAAAAAGGTTGTTGTGTCACTCTGCGACTGTCACAAACTGCTCGACAGTGGTTATATAGGAAAACTTAGCACAAACTTCTCTATGGTGAAATACTAGGTTAGAGCTAGTCTTACTGTGCCATTGGTTAATTTGTTAGCCAACCTATATGACTGTGTTTTTCTCTGGAGACTGAGAGCAAGGTGAATAATTTTGATCACAACAATTAAAAATATAATCAAAAGCTTTGGTATTGATTTATTCAGGGACAAATAAGATGAATGTGACATTTTATAGGGATCTTTTGACATGGAGTACCAGAATGTCAGTCAGAAGTTGTAATGTATAGGAAATCAATCAAGCCCTTAAGCCCACTAGACATTTTCTTCAGCAAAATTTCAACTAATGATGTGGGTGATGTAGTAAAAATATATGGGTTTTTTTCTTATCTTTAGTGTAGAGGTGGTTTGAAAAGCAATAAGGGTATAATTAATAATTCATAGAGTTTTATGTATGCCACGTTAGCACAACAGAAATGGGCAATCTCATGTTAAACAAAACTGTTAAGTCAGGAGAGGAAGATAAAGAACAGTTTAATTTCTCACTTTGTGATATAAGTAGCTTTGAAGCTACAATTTGCCTCTCAACATAATCCTTCTCCATCTGAGTTGTGATCGTCTTGGCTGCCATCTATTGTAGTCCCTCAAAGGATAGTCCCCAAAGTCTAGAGTGGCTGAGAAATTTCTCCTATATTTCTGCTAAGAGAAATACAAAGCAAACAGAGAAGTTTCTCATGGTGGGAGACTGAATAGGTGCAGTTGTTAGTTAACTAAATGGCAGGCAATTATGTTTGAAATAATTGATTCTATTAAGAACACCCTTTCCTCTTTATGGCAGAAAACCAGTCATCTTCTTTTGAGTATTTTGATAGGTAAAGGCAGAGAACGTTATCTAAATACATTTCAATAATCTGCACATTGTTTGTGCACCACTGCTCTGTGGAATTTACAAGTTACTAGAGTTTGTCAAAGCCTGTGAGTATGACTCAATAGCAAGATTAGGAGATTCCTTTCCCACAAGTATTAGTGCACAACTTGTTAATGTCTCTACAGAGCCCATTCTAGGTGTACGTGCATCTGAAATCTTGCTCTGAGCAGCAATCTCTGAGGAAATTACAAGTGTGCTTTTCACTTGTTTTTTTCACTTGTGCTTTTCACAAGTTATTCCCCTAAGGGACATCATAACTGTGAGCCTTACTCCAGTCTTTCCTATTTCTTCTGTCACTCTTCTAGTTTTGTATGTTCCATGAGTAAAAAAGCAAGAAAGTTTTGTATGGCCCCAAAAATCAAATGAAACTGTATATAAGCTGTTAGCATAAACTCAAGATCTTTGGGATTAAAGCACTCAAGTCCTGCAGCAAATTATTCTGGTCAACAGACCTAGTCAATGACGCTTGGGTTTCTGGAAGAAGTCACTGGTAATTAAGTGTGTGAGAGGCATGTTGCTGCTTTTTTCTGCAGTGGAATCCATAGACACACATGTGGCAGATCTTGGCACACATGAATCCCTCAGAACACCATCACTTGTTTTCCCTTCAACCCCTTCTGTCTGCTTAACTCATGAAGACCAACTCAGTTTTAAGCATAAGGATGAGAAAAGATAAGAAATTCCATTTCTTGAAGAACATGCAACATACCTTCCCCAAAGCATATCATTGCAGTAGGCACTGGATACACTGGTAATGACAAAAAAGGTACTCTCTCCAAGGAGAGGGTCAGTAACTCCCTTGGCTGATGGCTTGGAGCCAAATTATTATACTTTCTTGTTATCATTTAGAGAATAGCAATTGTTGTTGCTGTCATCCACTTGGGCGCTCTTTCTGATGCTTTATAGACCTGATACCCTGAAGCCATTCATAGTCTCAGAATTTGCGTAGGAGATTTCCCTGTGGAGAGCACCAACCCAACAAGGTAAAATTGTGGTGGGCTAAGCAGCTACTTTTCATTCAATACCTGATACACATTTCTCTCTGCCTAAACCGGTGAGCCACTGTCTGTAGCTAGTGTCTCTTCCTGTATATTCTGTAAGGGTGCAGGTGTGATATTTGCTGTCATGACAGCCAACACCACATGACTGGGGACAAAACCATTTTAATTCAAAAGAATTGTCCTTGCCAGCCTACTGTAAGTTCATAGTTTCAGTATTTTCCAGGATTTCCTGTTCATCCCAGACATGATCAACCCAGAGTCAATCCCATGAGGAAATTACTTTTTTCAGCCTACCTTTATTCTAAGTAGTTTATTATGGCTGAATGGAATTTTTTTGGAGTTCGCCTCACCACTGCTTTGGAAGGAGCAGAGATGATGGGATGAGCCATGAGGGACTTGGTTTATTTTATTTAGTTTTTGAGTGTCTTCTGGAATCTTGGAACTTTTCCAACTACCATCCTTAGTATTTTTTTCCTGATGCTGTTTGTTCAAAAGGTCAAGTTCTCCGTCTCAGACGGGGAGTACATAGAGGTTTGGGGTTTTTTTTAAAGAACATTGGCTACTTGTGCCACACTCATCAAGTTTTAGAGCACAGGTCACTTCTTCCATCTGCTTTGGACTTACTCCAATCAGAGATCTTTACAAGAGGGCAATATTGAACAGCCTGCCAACCTCTATCTAACACTTTAATGCTTTCTTTAAATTAGCAGCTGGAGCAATTCTGTTGTTATAATTTAACTATAACAACCAAAGTTCTTTTAGTCCTGTTGGCCCTAGGGGTTAGAACTGGGGGGAAGAGGAATCATTGGATCATGAGAGATCTAAGGGGCACTTACTGCTTGCGCACAGCACAGGGAGAGGCAGCAGGGTAAATAGGCAACTCTGGATGCTGCTTCTTAAAAAATCCTGTCACCTAAGGAGATGTATGTACACCTACAGACAGATCCCATGTGACAGTAATATGCTTAAAAGGCTACACTTAACTGTAGAAGTTCCTATTCTTTTTCCCACCCCTGTTTCTCCCTAAGGTGTCTTGCTTACCCAGCCTGTTGGTCGCCTGGGTGATTTTGTTGACCCACACTTTTAGCAAGGTAGAAGTCCTCTGGAGAAGCTGGGTCAGTCCTGCCAATTTACTTTGACAAATACCGTTCCTTTCATTGTGAATACAAACTAGCCACTGATCCATTTTTAAGTCCCACATGAAGTGGCACTTAGAGCAATGTAAAAACCTAAAGCAGGAACTCTACAAGGAGCCAAGTCAAGGAGACAGTTCTGAGAATTTGGACTTATAATATGTTTGTTATTTTATGATTTGTTTTACTTTGTGAATACAATTCAAACCCAGCAAAGGTTAGCTTTTACTTTGATTTGTTTAGTTCTGATGCTGACTGTATATGTTGGAATAGTTACTGCTTGTGAATTCCATGTAAATATACCAGCCATTGTGCACTGGTAGTACATTCTGAATTAATTATCTTTTGTTTAAAGAATGAATTTCTGTAGTGTTTGATTTACTATGCCTTATGTACTGTTACCTGGTAAAACTAATGCTTTAATGTAAAAGGTGTTAGTGTGCTGTCAGTATGGTCTATGATGTTTGCTAGCTAAAGTCTTGGCTTCGGAGCAGCATCTGTCACAGCACTGTTTAAAAAATGTGTGTTGTGGTTTAGTAGATGTCTAATGGTACTGTATCCATCTTTTTAAATATCATATGCTAGTGGCAGATCTATTTTTAGTAGAATTCACCATTAAGAAGCACTGGAGTGGTAAAGTAACTTTAATATTCTCATTTTTCCAGATAAAAGGTCTCTTCCACTTCAAAATATACATAGGTGTTTTAAATAATATACTGTCCATATAACTAACCTTAAATAAAATAAAATGCATACAGTCCAATTTATTAGATTTTTGTGCTATCACTCACTGCTTTTGCACAGCCAGTGTTCAGTGCTGTATGACTAAATTCCCCGTATTACCTTTATATTTGATAGGTCAATATATGTTCTGTTGAACTAAAAAGGGGGAAAAGTGGGATTTCTATCAATGGGCAACTGAAAATTAAACATTGTGGCTCACATATTTTTTAAAATAAGAAAATTCCTTGCAGATGGAAGAAAAGGGGGGGGGGGGGGGGGGGGGGGGGGGGAGGGACAAGGTGGAGTGTCCCAGAATTAAATAGGGGCCTTGCAGAGCATCGAATTAACTTGTTGTTTTATGCAAGATATACAATCAAAACATTTTTAAGGAAACTTCAACTAGGTTTTTTTTCCTCATTTTGGAAGAGTGAGGTGGGAAAAGAATTACTTTAAAATGGAAAAAAAGAGTCTCCACAAAAGTCCTGTCCTGTTTCATTTGGGATGCAGTAAAAACAACAAAAATACAACGTCAGGTAAAAGTTGTAAGCCCAGAAATAAATAAAATAAGAGCATCAGTCATTTCTATCGCTAGGGAACTTTCTTCATCTAAGCACATATGAACAATTGATCCTTGTAGTCATATATAGCAGTAAACATTAATAACTTAACAGTCTGAAGTCAGTGCTGAAGATATGGAGCATTATTGAAAGATGGAGTCGAGCAGGTGGCACTTTAATATGTTCAGTGTCATGGTTGACTCTAAAGACTAGTAGAATGAAATTACTTGAGGTTCTAAAGATTTAAAAAGCGAACTCATTTTGCTGCACTAAGGAAATGCTACTGATCAGGCTTTCTGTGTCCCTTTTTTCTAGGCTAGAAAATATTAACCCTGAAGAAAATGACATGGTAAGCCATTCTCTGAGGAGATTTCTTGATGTCAGTCTTATATCTTAGAGGCTTAAGTTCAATTGAGTGGGTTTCAAGAACTAAGATGTGGGAAAAAGAAGAATTGACACACTAATAATGTACATCTTTGCTGCAATATGAAAATTCAATAACTTCACTCAGTCAATTTACAATTCACATGTGCCTATTAATTAAAACCCTATATTAAATAAAATATATTAAAACTTCATGTCTGACTAACATATAATGCTGTTGGTAGACATTACAGGAATTACTGAACAGAATAAACAATGCAGACACAGGGATAGATATACTGAAGAATGGAGCTATAATTCTGAATCGAATACACAGGACCAAAGAACGTAAAAAGAAAATAATAGCTGAGGAAATGAATGCAGTAATAGAACAACGGGATGCTGCTTTGTCTCAAGTAAGTCTCTACAAGTATATAATCATTCAATCCCAAATTTCTTTTTGTCTTTCTATTTTCTTTTTTTTTTTTTTTTGCTTTACAAAATTATTTCACTTAGTTTTCTCTGTTGAAAATCTGAAAGAGAAGAATGCAGTATAGTAAATGACTGATTAATGATCAACTGTTTCTTCATGGTAGTAGTGCCCATTGAAATGACATCAATGCATTTAATGAGAAAAGTTATTTTTGGTTTTTTTTGCACCTGATCACTAGCTGTCTTCTTTTTAAAACAAAATAGTTTTCAGTGTATTGACCAATGAAAAAAGCTATTAAGGGCTTAGTTTTGCATTATGCTGTATTGGTATAATGCATTGGACAACAGTTAACTGGGACTCAAGGATTTGTAAAAAACAGCAAAAATATACATTAAAGGAAGAAAACAGTACCATATGCAACAAAGCAAGCAATTTGTCCCTTTGTTACTTTACATTTAGGAGATAAAAATCATCTTATGGTCCTTGGCTCTCAAAATCTTACACTTCTGCAACGTGACGTGAAAGAAGCTGAGGTCCTTTTTCTGCTCAGATACTCATTCTCTGCAATTTCCTATTTTCACAGAACAATCTGTCTTCAATCTCTTCACCACAAAGAGATTCCCCTTGCTTTTCTCATCTTATGGAAGACCTTTTCTGTTGTTTTGGTCTTCCTCACAGTTTTCTTACCTGGATTTAAACCTAGATTTAGCTCAAGAGGGAGAAGCCGTCCAAGTAGGGAATGTATCTCCTGGGAAAATACAAGATTTTTGACTGGATGGGACTTCTTATGTAGTCATCACAGGCAAGAAATTTCATCTGACTCTTCCAATACTGAAAAGTTAGATTTTTAATATGAGTTACCAAAGTTAGCCCACATCTAACTAATTTCTATTAGATTTAAAGTCAGGTTTGTGATCTTCAGTGGTATTGATAATGTTGATTGAATTTAGGTTGTATTGAAAAGTTTCCTGGTGAAAGAGTCTTTTCTACGCACCCTGTAATTTTCAATTTTTTTGCAATTGTTGGTTTTGTATTCTCTCCAGCTTAAACCTTGAAAGCCCCATCTGCCTGGTGCTTAAAATATTTTCTGTGTCTATCCAGTATGTGCTGCAAAGGATGTTAATGTTGAAGGATGCTAATGTTGGAACTTTACTTTTTCAGACTACTTTTTTTTGCTTTTATAATAATGGTGAGCAGCATAGCTACTGGGAAACATCCAACAGTCCTGCCAAAAGTTTGTGCTCTTTCTTCTTTGCACAGGGCATTTAAAAGTGAGCAGTTTATAAGAGAAAAGCTTTCAGGAAAAGAGAAAGATCTTTTTATACTTTTATTTTTGTTTTGCCAGTTCTTGCTTCTTTGTTGAAGGGGGACTTTCACGAATACTTGGATCATGAAACTTTTATGAGCATCAGAAGAATGTCATTCTAGGGCATTTTAATATACATTTTAATTGAATTGATTTTTAAGCTGCCTGTTTAAGGAGTAATCTTTTCCAAGTAATCAGCTTGGAAATTAATAAAGATAATTATTTTATATAGTAATGGCTCATGGGCTACAACCAGCAAAGCTATCTTTAGGCTGTCAGCAAAAAGCTCAGGTAATGTTAAGTAGATAGCGCAGCTGAAAAAATAAATGAATAAAATCACAAATCCCCTCCGAATGGAAATTTAAATATTTGGTATTAAGCCGTACTACTGTGATGCCATTTGGAATTTATAATGCCATTGTTTTAAATTAATTGTTATTAATAGAACTCTATTGATTATGTGTTGTGTTTTCACATATGTGATGCTGGTATGGCTGTAACTCTTGAATCTAGAGAATAGGTCCTTGGAATTGCAGCTCCCTGCATTTCTCACTTGATGATTCCTTGGGAATTCGTACTGTACTTGAATTATTAGTAGTCTTTTGTTAACATTGCAATAGTGGTAGTTATTACAGTGCTAACAGCAAGAACAATAGGAGAGGGATTCCTACATTAGACCACAAAGGGACTAGATATAATTCAGGGGATGTATATGCTTAGCATAACAAATGCAAATTATTGGAAGTAAGATCTGAGGTCGCCTCAGACGTTCATAATATCTGCAAGTTAAAATCTTTTTCTTTTTGATGGAGGTGACATCAAATATGGGGGGTGGGGGGGAATTGATGAAAACAGGATGAGACAAAGCATAAATAAACTGTAGCCCACAGTGGCTATCCTCTGGAAAAGACGTTTTTAAAGTTCAGAGGTCACTGGGCAATGGAAATTAAATGCTTCGTGACACATTGTGCGAACACCATGTTGCTCTGTTCCAGCTTGCTGTTGTGTGGTGCTGGAGACAGCAATGTCATTTGAGTGACCACTGTAACTGGTTCCATATAACAAAGTGCCTATTCAATAGGTTTGGACTGACTGTGTTTAATGAAGCTGCATTTGTTATCTTTCTTTACGGTTTTCTTCACAGTTGATGTTTGAGCACAGTGAATATTAGCATCTAGTTTTTTGGGTTTTACTTGTAGGATTTCTGATTTTTCTCAGCAACAAACAGTAACTCAAAAGCCTTCAGCTCAAATGCTTTGCTTTGAGTTCAAGTAAGGAATAGGTTACATTCCTAGAGAATGGAATTCTATAAACTTTGCATTTCCTATGACCAAGTAAATAGAGATTACTTTCAGTGAGTCTTTTAAATACAGTTTTTCAATACTTTTTATGGTAGTTAGACTATTAAGTTGCATTTAACTGGACTGCTGTTGCAGCATACTTGACAATGGTTAGCTAGTTGAGAGTCTTCTATTTGAATTTTACTTGAATAATTTTTTTTTATTCTGAAAAACATGAAGAGCACTATCCATGCTTTGGAAAGGTCATGAAAATGGTTTTTTGAGCCATAAGAGCCAAGAACTTCTGCATATTTTTTTGAGATTTCAAACATGAATGTTACTTCTTGCTAGGAGGCAGATAGAGGCACTTCTATCACTGTATTGAGCTGTGTATGTGTATGTAATCTTAGATCATTCACTAGATTGCTGAGCAAATATGCAAACTACTTTTTGTATGTGCGAAAACAAATAAAATGGTATAAACTCAAATATTTGATACTACTTTTAGTATGTATTTTCAAGTGAATAAAAAACAAACAACTAAAGCGTGGCTAAACATTGACATCCATCTTCTCCTGTACCAACCCCCTTAAAAAAACAAACTCAACTGTTTGGTTGTATTTGCTAAGATATGTTTGTTAGTGAACAGATATTGTGTTATACTGGAGAGCTTGAGTCTGTTTTATAACTGATTCTTTGAAAGGAAAACGGAGAAAGGTGCTGACTGTCATGAGAAATAAAGCATCAGTTTCTTGTCTGTAATGTTCAGGTTTGTCTTAACCCATTCAAGGAAAAAAACGTATTTGTCCTGTTGGTTTTACTACAGTTCTGCCTTTCATCAAAAGCCCCTCTTGCTTGAGTAATCCAATTAGTGACAGACATTTAATGAAGATTACATATGGCATAGTCAAATTGTGCAATTTTCATAAAATACTTTTAAAAAGTGGTTTCCAGCAGGAGGCAATACAGTGCAATGTCTCAAACTGGCAACCACCCACTAACCACATCACACCTTGTGGACAGGAATGTTAATGTGTTAAGGGGTTGGCAGCTGAAGCTGAGGACTTGAATAAGTCATTACAATTACTTTTCTCCTGGTTTAGAGAAGAAAGGGGACCTTTTAGTTGGTACAGCTTGAAGGAAGCGATTTTTTTAAAGCTAAATAAGAGATGGTTTACAGTTCAGGAGAATGTGTGTCTGATATGTTTTCAATCTTAAGATATAAATAAATATTTTGTAAATAATTTTTAATTGGGAACAGTCAGTTCTATGCAGAGTTTTAAATATTAAATGTATAGAATTTGTTGTTAAGGAAAAACAGTGGTTTCATGGCTGGCCAAGTATCGTCTCTAATACACTGATCTTGAAGCAATAACATAACTGGCAAGCAAACCTGGTTTTACAGCTTTGAATAGTTTGATCACATCCTGCTGTGCAGGAACATGCTCATGACTGTTCATGTAAAAAATTGGCATGCAACCAGTTGCTCATCTGAGGCAAGTTTAAGTACCTTTCCCCATTTTGAGGCAGTGTTTGGCAGCCAGCAGCAGTTTATCGTCATTGAAAACAAAGATGAGAAGCACTATGCTTGACTGCCCATCATTATCAGTTTCGACTAATGACTAATAACTGGTAAATGTCTGTGCTTACAACAAGACAACTTCTTGCTAACTTTTTTTTTTCATTCTGCTCAAGCAATTTCTCTCCTTTTACACCAATTAAGGTGTAGAGGTCTGTGTTATCTGTGATTCACAGAACATTAAGGCATTCTCAGCACACATGAGTGAACAGGTCTTACTCAAGTAATAAACCCAAGAGCTGTATGAAGTGTAAAAACAACAAAAGCATACATAAAAGAAAAAAATTACTTGCAGATCTTGGGTCCTTAATTGGGGAATAGTCAGGTGACTGGTTACAATGCCTCATGACTCTCTTATCTTAGGATAGAGATGATCCCTTTGCAACGCAAACCACAGTTTGGGATGTTATTTTCAGTAATTTGAGTTAGCAGTTCAGTTTTGGTGCCCTTTGACACTTCCTGGTCAAGGATACCAATCGAGTTCTTGGATGGCAGGAGCACATTTTGACAGTGTCCTCCTGGCTGCTGTGCCAGGATGCTTCCTCTGCTACCTTTTCACTTTTGCCACTGATATTTGGGAACAGGAAATGGAAAGGTAGGACACTATATTCACAGTTGTTTGTGAACCAGGCATCTGCTGTGGGATACTGATGATTTTGCTCACAGGCTTATTTGAGGAGGGAAGTGAATGAATGTTTATTGTAATTTGAGGATCTAAGGACCATGCTGGTTTACTCTTATGCCTGGTTTCCTTTGGGCAGGCAACAGCAAGTTCCTGTTGCCTTCATTTGCGGTGCTTTTCCCTGGAGGTAGCAGAT